AGCCTAAGCTGCTGTAACTAAATATGACAAAGTCATTCATGATCCCCCTCACTCAGTTGTGCAAACATCTGTGCCCAGCATTACTCCAACAGAGGTGCACAATCCAGCATTTCTTTTTGATCCTTTTCATGCTGTTGATGATTGCCTGGTGCTCCCATCTATTGACATGCCTCTGTGCAAGGTCTCTTGGCCCTTGAGAGAGTCAACAGCAACTCCCAGTTTAGTATCCAGTGAACAGATGCTTATAATGCAAACTTTTAAATTTGATATTGTACAATAAACACATCGTCTCAGTGGACTCTTTTTCTCTGCTCATGATTCTCTTGTGTACATGCCCCGTCGCTGTGTTAGTCCTTGTCTAACATTCTGCATTATATTAAGAGCTCAAGTTTAGTTGATTGTTACTGTAACCTACAAGTAGTTCTTGGTACTCACCTTCTTGTAAAGAAACAGCAGAGGCTTTTTTACAAATATAAGTCTTAGAGTTTTTGCATTTCAGTATGGTCAGCTGGATGCTTTGAGTCTGTACCCAGCCTACCGCAGAGTTAAAAGCATTACTTGTTGGAAACTGGTTTCTTCATTAGTTTTATTAGTCTTGTATTATCAGCAGTTATTTCCTGTAGTATAGTGTTTAATTTAAGTGTTGTACGCGGCAGAACATTTACATCAGTTTTCATTAGTATAACACTGTAAGTGAAATAGAGTAAATTTGATTGTGTGAAAGTGGCTGCCAAGGCCACAGGATTTTTTGAGGAAGCCTTTATATATGGTGAGAAGCTTCCAGTAAATGGTCCCTTGTGAGGGAAGCACAGGTGAGACAGTATGAGTAGGAAAAGTTATGAAATGGCCAGCACTTTGAGGTAGTGGAAGTGGAGTCTGGATTTGCTAGCCAAATCTCTGTATTAACTTCTACCTCAAGAGGAGAATTAGATCAGCTGAAAGTGATCTTTGCATCTTTGGATTCTGCTACATACCTAAGGAAAAACTATGTTATGGTAAACTCTGTTGCTGGGAGTGCTGTTCATGTTGTATTTACTCATGTCTTTTAGTATTAAGTATTTCCATTGCCCTAGCTATTCTTGTGCTAGGCTTTAAACTCTTGTTTTGTCAGGTCTCATCCCCTTACCTTGTTGCTTTCTTAGTGTTCATCTGTGTCTTTGATACCAGGTGTAGATGTACTTGCACTTGTGCTGGATTGACTGTTTATTTTTAGTTTTTTGCACTTATTAATGGAAGAAATCATTGTAATAGTTTTGATTGTATAATCAATTTCTAAGTCTTCTCCCAACTTCCAGCAATCCCTTTCTTTGTCTCTGCTTGGATCAGTTTCCTTACTTGAATTTTGAATCTCATCATGTTTCAGAAAATTCATCCAGAAAGTGGTGTCTGAGTTCTTGGGATTTTTTTTTTTATCCCTTTCGTATGGTTGGAGGGTTTTCTTTGTGGTTAAATGAACTTTGGGTATCATAAAAGAAAATTCTGAAATACTGTTGCCAAAACCAGCTTTTACTACAAACCAGCCTTTGTGCAAAAGTTTTTCCTCAAACATGCCCAGGGCTTGCTGCTTACATGGACTACAATATGCTCACATTTGGGTACGTCCCATTCCTGAAGTGTGTGTGCACATTACTGTCCTAGAACGCTCATTTAATTAAAAGTTAATGAGCAAAGTTCATAATAATCAAATGAAGGATATATGGTAATGATCTTGTCTTGCTGGCTTAGAACTCTCATCTGTCTCCATCCTTCCCACACAGGTGAATCAACGCAATGTCCCAGGGATTGACAGTGCCTACCTGGCCATGGATACAGAGGAAGGTGTGGAAGTTGTTTGGAATGAGGTTCAATTTTCTGAGCGGAAGAACTTTAAGCTTCAGGAAGTAAGTTGATGTGTTTCCCAACAAGATGTGGAAAACACCTTGCACCAGGGTGGGATTATAGACATTAATGACATTTCATGTGGATTATTGGCTGGCTTCAGAGTGCTGTGCTGCTAAAATGTAGCAAATTCAGCTTAAGCCTGGCCTGGGCAGAAAATGCAATGGAGAGCTGTCATGCTATTTCCATGTGCCTCTTCTGTCAGTTTAGTCTTGGCGATCAAACCATGCTCAGCTCTGGTACAGTATAAAGTGAAATCTGTTGTTGTTTGTTCTTAACATGGAGTTTGAAGTGTGCAGTGTTGTTTAAAGGGACCCAAGAAGAAGGTAAGATACAGGCTTATGCAGTCTCTGATACAATGTGTCTTTGTCTTTCTGATGTTAAGGAGAAAGTTAAAGCGGTGTTTGACAACTTAATTCAGCTGGAACATCTGAACATTGTGAAGTTTCACAAATACTGGGCTGATGTGAAGGAGAATAAAGCCAGGGTAAGTAAAGCAAACAGTTTGTTGAGTTTTGTCACTGTAGGTGAGTTTTCTCACTGTAGGTATGTCCTGTAGGTAATATGGGAAGCAGAAAGTAATGTCTTGTACTGCCTCTACAGGTGATCTTCATCACTGAATATATGTCTTCAGGGAGCTTGAAACAGTTCCTGAAGAAGACAAAGAAAAACCACAAAACTATGAATGAAAAGGTAACTCTTGTCATGTGTGCCTGATTAACTTAGTATCATCAGCCTCTGGAAAACTCGTTCGGCAGAGAATCCTGATGAAAAGGCAACCTGGTGATAACACGTGGCTGCAATTCTGTTTTATTACTGTAAGCTAGTTTAGTTGCAGGTTCTCTTGGACAGCTGTTCTGTGCTGTTTGCTTTGTTTCCAGAACTTCTGCAGCTTCATATGTATGGTGTGAAAGGCATGTCCCTTTCCATGTGTGCATACAGAAGAGAGGGAAGAGGTCTGTACATGGGAGGAGTTAGGAGAGGAGGTGTGTTTCTTGATCTATATGAATATGTAGAAACTAAACTGAGCATGAGTACTGATCCTTTAAATTCTTACTTCCTACATGCCTGTACTGAGTAAGAGTTAAGATGCCACAGAATGGAGCATATATTCCTTCATATGAATGGTCTATGAATCACAGAACTATGGATGAGTTTCTCTTCCTTGAATTACTTTTATTCTTTCTGTTCTTGTGTCTGTAGGCCTGGAAGCGATGGTGTACCCAGATCCTCTCTGCTCTCAGGTATGTGAATTACTGATCTAGCCATCTGTTTCAGGGTAGCTTCTCTTGTGCTGGAATATTAAAAGCTGTAAACATACATGCTGCCAAATATTAGCAAACTTCATGGAATGGAGCCTGGAGAGCACTTTCAGTCACCCAGCCTGATTCTTATCCCAGCCCCAGTCTGCAGAGTGTCAGTTGCACTTCCTATAACAATCCCAGTCTTTAGTTGGACAATATAGAAGCCTCAAAAATAAACAGGTGCAATATAGGTCTTAGATCCAACAGTTGCAATTGATTGTGAGTATGGGAGTTGAGCATTAGGGAACTCTCCAGAGTATCCAACTTTATAACCTGCATCCAAGAGGATGTTACAGAGAAGTCTCAAATAATTCAAATTCTGGTTGAGTGAGGAAAACTTTCTTAGCCTTGGCAGGCTGCAGTCCTGTAGCATGCAGTGGCTTCATAATTATTGTGGTGCAGTACTGTTAGAAGTGTATGTGGATCTGTACATTTCTTGGTGATGCAGGTCTTTTGCAGCCATCTTGCTGCAACACAGTTGAATACGATGTGGGGGTTTTGTTTTGGATTTAAAGACTCTTCCCTACCTGAGCCAGAGTTGGTGTGCAGCTAACAGCAGCCTCGGAAAAACAGTAACCCAGATATATTACCATGACTCCCACTCCATAGAGAAAATTCTGTTGCCATTTGGCTAAATATAGCTGTTGATGAATAGCTGGGGTTCTAACAAGCTTTTCTGGGAGCTGACAGTCCTTATTTTTGCTGGCTGCTAACATCAAGCAGGCTGAGGTGCAAAATCAGGTAGCTTTAAGTGTACCTGGGACCCCAGCACTGGCAAGCTCTATTTGTGCCTGCTGGAAAACACGACCAATCATGTTTGTACAACACAGAGTACCTTTTTGATGCCCTGTGAGTAGGGTCAGATTAAGGATCCGCTATTTTTGGTGTAAAGCACCAAAGTGGTTTCAGGACCCACCTAGCAGTATTACGATGGATGAAATAGTTTCTTTACCCCTGGTACCCTGGGTTTCTTGGGAACTGATCAGAGAAAGCTTTCTTTTTTCCACCCATGTTTTAGAGATTTTTCATTAGAGACAATAGCTTAATTTTCATTATTTACTCCTAGCCTAGAGGCTCCTGTACAGTCACTTAGTTGTACATCACTACTATTGTAAGTCCCTAGCATATACCCTTTGCCCGTCTGTTCTCTTCTGATGCTTCTTGAGGCAGGGAAGGGATGAAGGGAAGGATTCTGGCCTTAGCCTTGGTGGCCTCCTAACTAGTGCTCTGTTCTGTATCTCTAGCTACCTCCACTCCTGTGATCCCCCAATCATTCATGGTAACCTGACCTGCGACACCATCTTCATTCAGCACAACGGACTGATCAAAATTGGGTCAGGTAAGGCTTGTTGGAATGACCCCTGTGAGACAAACGGCTCAAACAGAAAAAAGCGTCTAATCCTTCCAGTGTTATTTGACACGATAGGCATGTACATACACATGTTGCTCCACTTCTGCATCAGTTGTGCCAGGGATTGGTAGTAAAATTCACTTTTGGTTGGATCACCTTCAGGTGCAGGAAGGACTGATACTGGATACTGTTTCTTCTGGTGGCTCCTTTCTCGGTTTCTGGTCTCAAGGGACTCACCTGAGAAATGGTGCTGAAACTTCTGAGCTTTGTATGCACAAAAACTGCTCTGCAGTCTTTTTCATGTTAATACACCCAGAGTTCTCTTCCCAGTGTTGTAAGGCTTTGCAGAGCTGTCTGGAGAGCTGTCCACTGATGCCACATGAGTACTTCTTGTAGCAAACACAATCAAGCTCATAGGTTCTGGCTGCAGCAAGCTACATGTCTTGGCATCCTCATCCAGCATCCCTCACTTTGGCCTGGACTTCAGGACGCTAATTTGTCTTGGGCCTGTTTGGCAAAAATGTGCTCTGTTCAGGCAGCCACCCTGTGCTAAAGTGTTTTATTTCATAAGTGAAAAGTGATTTTTCTGGCAGTGCATCCTTGCATACAAGTGTTTTTTCACCTTTGCTGTTCCTATGTCTCTAAAAGTCTGTCTGCAGTAACAATGTTGTACTTTGACATAACCTTCCAAGTGACAGTTTATTATCTGTTGTCCAACTTCTGCAGGTATTCTCAAACCTAAGGAGTGTACACTTGCTGTCCTGTAGGCTTTTGTCTGTGTGTATTCTTGGTATGATGATGACCATGTACAGGAGAGAACACTCTGCTTCACCTGTCATCTAAAAATAGCCTCTCTTCATAAACTGCAGACCTCTGTGGCTTTTCGTATCAAAGAACTCTTGTGCTGTCTCTTTGATCCAGAATTGGGGTTTCTCTTCTCTTTAACAAACCTCCGATACATGCTTGTATGCAGGGAGCCTGAGTCAGAGCAGAAGTTCTCTATCTGCCTGTAGATTTGATGACTTCCTCTTCACACAGGCATCACGGGATTTGCTTTGTCATCTTTCCCTGACTTTGTCCAGGTGGGAGAAATTTCTAAGAGTGATGTACATATGATACCTGCATGTTGGCAAGCAAAACTGGCTCCCTGGCGTTCAATTCAGGCCACTTAAGGGAAGGCAATTGTAGACTTGAGTGTGTAAGAGATTCTTCTCTTCCTAGTTTAGTTTAAAAGTATTATACAGCTGCAATCTTTCTGGTTGGTAGCCAGCACTTTGTAGAAACAAACAGCTTGAAGCTGGTGTCTAGAGCCCTGGCTTTTTACCAGAGGGAGGTTCTGCAGATCAACAAACGTAACATTCTCAAGAGCGTTCAGGCTCCTAGCGATACCATTCAGAGGTTGCCTAGAAGAATGTTGGCTCTTTGAGCGTGGGTTTCAGTTGCCTCAACAGACTTACACCTTTGTGTGCTCTCTCCAGTTCCACAGAGCTTTACTTCTGTTAGGTATGGTGGGAGAGACAGAGGCAGTTAGATTGAAGTGTTCTTTCAAAGACTAATGGGTAGCTGTGTGCTATAACGAGTGTATAGTCAGCAAGGAGAGGACATATGCTGAAAGTGTGCCTGTGCAGGAACAGTGCTTAACTGCAGTTGTTCCTGAGCAAACTCTCTCCTACCCCACAGCTGTAGGCTGCCTTGCTTGCTTTGTGTTCAGAAGTGAAGTGGTTTTTCTGGGAGATACTGGTCCTTAAAAAAGGAAGTGAGCATGAGTAGACCTGTAGTCAGAAGAGTCCTCCGCATGTGAAAACTATGGCTCCAGGGCAGGCTGGAATCAAAGTTGCCCATGTTGCAGAATGTATTCTTACTCCTGTAGTGCCCAACCAGCTAGAAAAGTCAAAACTGTGTCACCAGAACTGCTGGCTGTATTTGAGCTTGAGATTTTCTAGTACTGCTGACTGCAGTAGCCTGACAGGCTATTCTCATGCTCGGGCCCTAGAGCAGTAGTTGCTTTGGGGTCAGTGACAATGTTAGGCCCATGTTTAGTACTTCATGTAGTTATTTCTTACAACTGTCTGGTATCTGAAAGCTTTCCTGTGTTTACTTAAAAGAAGTGGGGCAGTAATTCTCATGGATTTCAGGGAAACAATGATTCAGTGCACTATGATCTGCTCTTTGATACTGTCTCTGTCCCCAGCACCATTCTGGGCTATGTTCCTGAAAGCTCCTCTTTCCTCTACTTTAAGCAAAGAGAATACTTGCTGAATGTGGGGCAAAATCTGGGGAAAGGAAGCTGCTAGCATTCTGCAAAACATCCTTCTGTCTGCTAGGTGAGGAAGTGCTAGACACAGGTGTTGCCTGTGACTTTTTTCACATCAGAAATGGCTGGTACTTGTTCCTGTAACACCTGCTTAGGTGTGGGAGCAGCTCTTTTGCCTATCACTCATTACTGCTTCAGACTGCAGAAGCATGTGCGCTAGCAGGACTGACCACTGTTTTCTTGTTCTGCATGTAATTCTGGATCAGTCTCTTTTGTTTCTAGAGTCATCTGTGCACTGCAGGTAGGACAGAGATTAGTACCAGGCTGTTGCTGTTACTGTTGCACTGAGTTTTGGAAAGAGGGCTGGAATCTTTACATGCTGGGGGTCATCTGTGGAAGAAAAAGGGAATGGGAAAGAGAGAGGATTTCTCATACTGCTTGAATGCAAAAGACATTTATAATCCATTAATTTACTAACTTTTTTCTTTTAGTGCCATAAAATGCAGGGTTAGTAGATTTAAGGGTCAAGTGAGTGGGGAGCTTTGTAGGATTTGTGATGAGGGTAAGAAAAATGCTTACAGTTCATACAACTGCTGTTCCCAGAGTCTGGAACGTCCCAGCTGCTTTCTGGAGTTGTGGTCAGATGAAAACATTCCTTTTGAGAGGTCCAAGTTGTTTTCTGTGTACTCTTCCACAGGATCCACATACCAACACCATGTTGCATCTGTGCATATCTGTATTGTCTAACAAGTGGGCCTGCAAAGGGAGCATTTGCAAGATGTTTTACCGTTACAGGGCAAAGGTACTCTGAGTGTGAAAAGCTGTGTTCAGACAGGGTGTTTGATGCTGTTGCTTGCTTGTGTTAAGTAATGTTGGGAGATGTTTCTTGTGATGCTTATTGGGAGTGTTAAGAACCAGTCACAAATGGAAAGAGATGATGGTGTTGAATTAAAATCCTTTTGGGCAGCTCTTGGAGTGCCCCAACGTAACTGAAGCCTCAAATTGGAGTGTCTTGTAATGTCTTCTGGTGCTCCTGAGACATGACAATGTACTACCATGTGCTGGATGAGACTTCCAGTAGAGCACAGGAGGACACTCAGTGTTGTGCTAGTGTATTTGCAAATAGTGCCTCTAGGCATTTGGCCGAGGTGTGTGCTTTCCTGCCTTCAACACACTGGACCTCTAAGATTCATTATAATTGCAGTCAGTCCAGAGTCTCCTTTCAGTTCCAGGCCAAGGTGCCAGGAGACTTGAGTCTTACTTGGTCTTAACTCTGCTATTAAATTATGTGGCCATGTATGTAAGTATGGATTCTGCTGCTGAGATCCATGCTGGAATGTAGAGAAAGGTAGCTGTCTGCAGAAGGGGGTGCTAAGTGACTGTAGACCACTCACAGAAGAAAACAATTTCCAGCTGCTTAGTGTCCGAGTTGACTGTCATCTTCTACTTGGTCAGAGGTGTCTTGTCTCCCTTGCCCAGTCTGGTTCTCAGTTAAGAAACACTTGTATTTCTCAGATAAATTTATTTTAAAAAGGTGACTGGAGGCAGGGCCAGATTCTCATTCTTGTCCATGTTTTGCCATGATTCTGACTTAGCTGTCTCTATCAATGTTAAGTGCTTGCTGTTTCATCAACTCATTGACTTCTATCTCGTTTTACTTCCCGCTTACGGGCTGCTCTGTTTCCAACAGTCTTTCATAGGATATTTGCTAATGGTGAGCAAACTTCTCCGCTCCTGTGATGTGACTATCACTATATATGTAATGTACATTATTCTACTTGTGTGTGTGTATATATATATTTTTATATATATATGTGTGTGTGTGTATCTGTATTTGTAACACACACAAACATACACACTCTCTCTAAATTATTCATGCAGTGTTCCCTTGCTGTAAGGCAGCTGGTATGTAAAATTCTATGGCTTAGATGCATTCTACTTTCAGACCCTGCATTCTGTGTTGGGATACAAATTGTTCCTCATGCTCCCAGCCACTGCCTTACAGAGAGGGAGCACTGCCCTTTGTGAAGTCTCCTGGTTGTTAGTTGTCTTCCTCTCCTCGTTCTTAGAGTGTGCTAGCCCATGGACTCTAGTGCATGTTGGCTCCTGCATGTCAAGCCAAGTGGATGCATTGCTCTGAGCTCTTCCCAGCTGAACTTTCCACGTACATTAGGCTCTTTCCTGCTACTGCTCTTCTAGACTTGGCTGGGCACCAAACCTGGACTAGCCTTTGCTTTGTGCTTGGCTATCCAATTGCTTGCTTGTAGTTTTAACTCCTTAGATGTTTTTTTTTTAAGATGAATGTTTCGGTGAATGTGTCTGGCTCCTGATGGCCAGAGAGACATCCTGTTCAAATGGGTCCCTGATTGTGAAGTAAGGTTTACTGTTTATGTTTCCCCAGACAAAGCTCTATTTTTAGGGAGACTTGTGCATATGAGGAGGGAATTGAGCTGAGGTGGGAGCTAGAGAAGGACTTTAGTGCTACAATTTGTAGCCCTATGAAATAGAATGCTGCATTTACATTTAAAAAAATTATTTTTTATCATCAGAGTTGTTTTTGATGGTTAGAGTTTGTTTCTACTGAGTTGGGAACCTACTGTCAGCTGGAAGTGTTGGAAAAGAAAGGGCCTGTACAAACAGGCTCTGTTCCACCTTAGTGTTTGCAGGAGGAGGATGTGGTGTGCTGCTCTACATCTCCAGCAGATGAGATACTCAAAACGCTAAATCTGGGATCTTGGGTAGCTGAGGGGGAAGGTGATGTAGTTGGGGTCTGAGGCATTGGGAGTGCATATTCCCTTGAGGATAGCTTGTTTGCCAGAGTGCTGTGAGCTGGGCAGGTTGGGCTGTGACAGTCATGTACAGCAGGCTGCTTTTTTGGCATGAAAGGGGTAAAGGGGCACACCAGCAGCAGACCAACTGGTACAGGAACAAGCCCACAGGATGGGAACGGGACTGTGCCTGGGCTTCAGTGTGGTTTCAGTTATGCTGATGGCAAGAAGGCTTAAGACTAGCAAGCCATTTCTCGGAAATCAAGTTACCTCTGCAAGCAGCACAAGAGACCCTCATTCTAGCAAAGCAAGAAGGGCCTCAGCCAGTGGTCCCTGGGCCTAAGAAGATGCTGTGGTGTCTCACTTGTGTTGAAACAGCATCAGGTGGCCTTAAAATACTGAGTTTTCTTGACTGGTTTCTTGAGAACTTGTTTTAACAGTGCTGTTGTATCACTGCACTGTTCATATGAGAGATGGAAATTGTTCAATCCTTAGATCCTGAACAGTGATTTGGGTTTGAAAACAGTAAACACAGGGCTCCTGTTTTGCTTGAGTGTTGACCTGTCGTGGTTTAAGCCCAGCCAGCAACTTGGAACCACGCAGCCGCTCGCTCACTCCCCCCCCTCTTCCTTCCTCCCCCCGCTCCCGGAGGGATGGGGAGGAGAATCGAAGGAATGTAACTCCCACGGGTTGAGATAACAGCACTCCAGTAACTAAGGTATAATACAAACCACTACTGCTACCAATAATAATGATAAGAGGAATAACAAGGGAAAAGGACACAACCGCTCACCACCCGCCGACCGATACCCAGCCCGACCTGAGCAGCGATCTAGGCCTTCCGGGTAACTCTCCTCAGTTTATATACTGGGCATGACGTGCTGTGGTATGGAATACCCCTTTGGCCAGTTTGGGTCAGGTGTCCTGCCTCTGCTTCCTCCTGGCTTCCCCTCCTCTCTGGCAAAGCATGAGACTGAGAAATTCCTTGGTCAGAGTAAACATTACTTAGCAACAACTAAAAACATCGGTGTTATCAGCATTGTTCCCAGACTGAAAGTCAAAAACACAGCACTGCACCAGCTACTAAGAAGGAGAAAAAATGACTGCTGTAGCTGAACCCAGGACAGACCTCATAATATTGTGACATGTTTCATAACTAATCTCTTTCAGTCATTACTTCACTCTCTTGGGTTTTGTTAACTGACGTTTAAAGACTTGTCATGCTGGTTTCACATCCTTAATAGACACCTGTGACACTTCATAGGTCATTTAGAAACAAAATAGGAGTTGCTGGGATTGCTTGGATCTGGCTTTGTTTGTTGTCTGTTTTTTTTAGACTTAGGCAAGTGTGGTATAGAGAAAAAATAATGGATCCTTGAAATGAGCAGACATAGAAAAATCTATCATAAAAATGGAAAACTTTCACACGTTTGCATTCTTTTAAGAAGATTTAACATAAATTTACGTCATTTAGCTTTTAGCCATTCAGTTTTATGTGTAAAGTCAAGCACATCCTCTACCAAGCCAAACATTTCAGTTGCTTAGAAAGTTTGCAAAACTAAGGTAGACTTTCACAAGCAGGCGAAAAGGTTTGTCTCTGGCTACAGGCGCTGCTGGGAATGAGATCTGGCAGATCAATAGTTTTGAGTGGAACTTTTTTTCCCCCCACAATGCTTCAGAAAGGCCAGAGTGGTAGCAGGTCACTTTTATCTTCAAAAAAAAGCTTTGTCTCACCTTGATCTCTGCTGTCTTTGAGACTGCCCGTGATAAGGTGAAGATTCTTCATGTTTGTACTGTTCTTGAGAAACTCTGAACAGTGGAATAACATGAGGTTAATTTCCAATTGTAATAAATGGTCAGGCATCTCATGATTTAGCTGCTGTTAAGAGAGAACAGCAATGGGGGACATTACTGTGGGGATCTGCTACAGACCACCTGACCAGGAGGACTCTGTGGATGAAGCGCTTTACAGACAGATAGGAGCAGCCTCCCGTTCACAGGCCCTTGTCCTCATGGAGGACTTCAACCATCCTGATATCTGTTGGAGGGACGGGACAGCCCGGCACAAGCAATCCAGGAGGTTCCTCGGTTGTGTGGAAGACAACTTCCTCTTGCAAGTAATAGAGGAGCCGACAAGGAGAGGTGCCATGCTTGACCTCATGCTCACCAACAGGGAGGGGCTGGTTGGAAATGTGACGCTCCAGGGCAGCCTTGGCTGTAGCGACCATGAGATGGTTGAGTTTGAGATCCTCAGGACAGTGAGAAGAGCATGCAGCAAGCTCACTGCCCTGGACTTCAAGAGAGCAGACTTTGGCCTCTTCAGGAACCTGCTTAGTAAGGCTCCATGGCATATAGTCCTAGAGCGCAGGGGGACCCAAGACTGATGGTTGATATTCAAGGATCACCTGCTACATGCTCAGGAGTGTTGCATCCCGACTAGAAGGAAGTGTGGCAGGAGGGCCAGGAGACCTCCATGGATGGATAAGGACCTGCTGAGGAAACTCAGAGGGGGAAAAAGAAACTTACAGAAGGTGGAAGCAGGACAGGCAGCCTGGGAAGATTACAGGAACGTTGTCTGGGAAGCCAGGGACCAGGTTAGGAAAGCTAAGGCC